TATATATATATATATATATATATTGCTTACCAAAAATTGATAGTTACGTTGAAATTATCGCAACACGTCAACGAACATGACAAGAAAAGGTTTTTATGCACCAAAAAAGGGCTTTATGAAAAAACTTATATGATTTTCTATATGTATACGCACGTTTTTTTTATGAATTATATCGTATATTTTATCTAAATATATTTAGTATAAAAAAATCCCCACTGTCGAGAGTCTACAACTACAAAATCAAATCTATTTAGTTGTAAAAAACATGTTGGTAAAGGTTTTCCTTTTTTTTCAAACATAAATTGCGCTATATTGTATTCCGAATAGTGCATGTACGAATCAACTTATGAAAATAAATAATATTTACGTGAAAATGAAAAATAAATATAGATAAAGATACGAGAATCGAATTTCTCTAACATGGCTCTCTGGGAAAGAAAAGAAGAGAACCAAGAACAGTTTCAAGAGACTACTTGTCTCTGCCAAAATACATGATTCAATGAATGTGGGTACAGGTGTTGAGCATCAAACACAGGGCTCCATATACATACATACATATATATACACACACATATACATATGCATCATGCTTATGCGTCCCCCCAACTACAAGATTTCATTTTATCACAAGAGACGCGTCTCTCGTCAATACACACACACACACACACACACACATATATATATATATATAATCGGAAGATGGATGTACCAATATTATTCGGAAATTTAAAAAAAAAAAAGAGGGTAAAGGTGGCAGACAAAAGGGTGAAACCAGTTGACCCATCGAAGTTGTTGGTTGGAAGTCTAATGTCTCGCCACTTATTTCGCATTTACTTTTTTTTTTTTTTATAAATGATTTCACATTCAACTTATAACCATATGTCATATTCTGTCAAGTACCTACTAGATTAATGTAATATCAATGTCACGCAGCCTATCAATAATGGAGTATGTTTCGACCGATTGGAGTTTGCCAGAGGATTAATTTAACCTTAATTTGTAACGTTGAGATAAAATAAAATTCGACCAAAAAAAGGAACTAACGAGCCTTGTAATTTGTAACCTAGCTAAAGACAGGCTCTTATTACCGGACTTAAGTGCATTTAGATACGCAGCCCACAGGTTGACAAAGTCTGCATATTATCCATTAATTAATCTTTAAACATACGGAAAAAACACACAAATATTAACGTGTTGAATTGAATCAGTAATCTGATTTGGACCTTGATGTATAGTTGAATATCCCACGATGTAAATTCGCATGCAATCATATACCAATTTCATTTTAATTTCACTCTTTTGTATCCCACCTTTATACATCATTTTTCGGGTATATCTTATTGTGTGGAAACTATATACTGAGAGAAATTTAAAAACGACCGATTCAAATAAAAATAATTGTGTTTTTTGTTAATGAATAAAAATAATTGTAATTTCGAACTGAAATGATATAACGCAGTTTCATTTGACAAAAGCTTTTCCCTTATACGCAGATTGAACCGACATAACCCTTTCTATATAAGAGCAGTGCTTTATCAATTCATAAAAAAGAAAATTTATGAAGGAGATGGCGAAGAGCAAAGGCGGTTCGCTGCTAAACCGGCTGAGAAGGGCCGTGAATAAGGTGAAGTTCGTGTTAAGATTCAATTTAAACGCTCTGTGGAACCTCGTACCGATGATCGGTTCGTCTTCTCCGTCTCGTCGGTTTAGTTTCAACGACAGACCCGGTTTAGCGGCGGCTTGTACGGATGAATACGTACCGGTTCATGATGACTCGACCGGTTCGTCCACACCGAGAGGAGCCTTGTACAGGACGGCGAGTTATCCCTCGTCGGACGATGACATAGACAAGAAAGTTGACATGTTCATTGCCAATTTTTATAGGCAGCTTAAGATAGAGAGGCAGATCTCTCTCGAACTCAAATATTAAAACCGTAATAATTCAAGCTTCGATTACAAGTTGCCTTAGCCAGATTATTTTTTAAAAATTATGGGGATGTTCCTGATATTCTTTAATTAAATTCATTGTTTTATAATATTTTTATATTGTTTCTGTAATGATCGGGGGTTTTTCTTTTGCGCCTCTTGTTATGTAAATAAATCCGATATTAATCACTTCAAATTGATAAGGTGATTCATTTTTTGATGCATCAGATTGGGCCTCTGTCCGTACGTACACTAGACCCATACAATTAATTTGGGCCCTAAGGATTAGTAGTAATGGGCTTAATGTTTGAAATGGGCCTTAACGATCAGGGGCATTACCGTCATTTCAGAAAGCTGGAGCGAGCGGCTCTCGCGTGAATGGGCCTCACGAACTCAGAGCCACAAGGCCTGTGACGCAGTGTATCACAGTCCAATTAAAAAGGGCTTTTTCGAACAGAAAAGGAAAACGCGTTACCTGACGAACCCCAACGCCCTGTGACATTATCATTGCTCGTTTCGCATCGGCCCTTGACCCCCTCTTTTTTCTTCCTCTTTCATTTCTCGAGGCCACAGTCTTGCTACCTCTTTCTCTGATACGCCGCCGTAGCCTTATTCCGTCTTTGAGGCGGCGGAGTTCTTAGGATTTTTTCCCGGCGATCGTCGGTGTACTTCGGTTTTGCTTGCTCCGGTTTTCTTCCTCGATCTTTCATTGAGTAAGGAATGTTTCCCTCTTTCGTTTATTTCTTCTTGTGTAAGTGTGATCCCTGTAGAAACTATAGGCGCGAGCGACTTAAGCTGCTTGTTGTTTCTTCGAGTGAATCACATGATAAGAGTATCGAGGTTTTTGGATTTTCTGTCGACTGGCCTGTTTCTTGCGATCGCCCGTTAGTTTCTCAGATATGTAGTTGAGATATATCTCTCAGAGCTGGAAATGTACTATCTGGTTGATGATTTAGATCTGATGAAGACCCATTTATCCGATGGCTTTTGTATCTGTCGTGTTATAGTGAAGTAATTACACCGATTCTTGTGCAAACTTGGGACTCCTAAACGATCTAGTCGAAATGAGATTGTAAACATGATGGAAACTCAGTTGTTTTATAATTAGGATGTTGATTTTGTTTTAAAATGTATAGGCATGAGTTGTGTTTCTGTTGTCAAGTAGAGTTGTGTTTCTCTACGTAAGATTGAGAGGCTCTTGATTTATGCATTTTTTGGATTGAAATTACCTAAACCTTTGATATTTGTGCTTCCCTTGGCAGACTTCCATTGTGTTCCTTTGCGCTCCTGAAGATGGGAGGCAGTCCAGCTCCATTTGCGGATATTGGCAAGAAAGCCAAAGGTATCCTGGCGTCTTGAAAACTTTTTGTAACTGTGTATTGATTATGTTTTCTATATATATAAATATATTGATTGTGTTGACTGTCTTAAAACTTACAGATCTCCTGAACAAGGATTACATTTTCGACCAGAAGTTTACTCTGACAATGCTGAGTGCCACAGGAACGGTATGTTCGATATCACATATGCCTAGCGTCTGCGCTTATTTTCTACAAAACATATGCCGCATACTAGAATACATAATTCTTAGCTACAGAAAGTGATGAACCAAAGAACAAGCAAATTTGCTCTAAATGAGATTTAATGATAATCTCAATTTGGTTGCCGTGCTTCTGCCATCTAATATAATTTTCTTGGCACAGGAACTTGTGGCTACAGGTTTAAAGAAGGATGAATTCTTTTTTGGCGACTTAAGCACTCTTTACAAAGGCAAAAACACCATTGTGGATATGAAGATTGATAGTTACTCCAACGTAAGGAATCGTTCCAGGTGAACTATGCATCAAACCCTGTGCACCTTACCTGCCTGTAAATCATAGTGGTTGAATTCTTTGTGCAGATGTCAGCTAAAGTTACTGTAAACAATCTGTTGCCTACTGCCAAAGCATCAATCAGCTTTAGAATACCTGATCATAAGTCTGGCAAGGTCAGTGCAACGTCCTATCAAAGCCGTTACTCAAACGTCGCCCTAAAACGGTTATTTTCATCTTGAATTTGGCTCATTATTTGATTTGGGCTTCCTGGTCTCAAGCTCACTCATGGTAGTATTAAGCAATTTGTCAAATCACTTGATCAATAACCCTTTTAGTCTGCTGATGTGTATTTGTTGTCTTAACTTCAGCTGGATGTGCAATATGTTCATCCTCACGCCACGATCAATTCTAGCATCGGCCTGAACCCAACTCCTCTGCTAGATATTTCAGCAACAATTGGAAGCCAAGATCTATGCCTAGGTGGCGAAGTCGGTTTCGACACAGCTACTGCTTCACTAACCAAGTGTAACGTTGGGATTGGCTTGAACAAGACAGACTTCTCTACAGCACTCATACTGTAAGTTTTCACGAATATATGATATAAATCGACGAATCCTCAAAAAAAGCGTGCTCTTTTAAAAAAGGAGAAATCTTGGATATGGGCTGTGTAGGGGGGACAAAGGAGAGACGTTGAAAGCATCATACGTCCACACAGTGAACCAAAACACAGCAATAGGTGCAGAATTAACGCACAGCATCTACAACTATAACAGCAGCACCTTCACCATAGGGAGCTCTCACGCGGTGGATAGTTTCACGGCGGTGAAGACGAGATTCTCTGACAAAGGGAGAGCAGGAATCGTAGTCCAGAGGGAATGGAGGCCTAATTCCCTCGTCACGTTCTCGGCCGAGTACGACCCGAAGGCCGCCGTCAATGCGTCTCCGAGGCTGGGTCTTGCCCTTGCTCTCAAGCCCTGAGTATAATACGACCCGAAAAGTAAGGCCCTTTTCCCCCCTTTTGTCTTTTAGCCTTCCCTTGATATTTCGTACGGTAGCATTCATTTCTTAGCAACCCACAAAACAAAAACGAAAGGGTTTAGTTAGTGGCTTTTGCGTTAGGGTTTTAGTAAACATTGTGTGATAAGGAAAAAAATAATAATAATGGCTTTTCGTGAGATGGGATTCTTATCTTACACCCACCGACCCATTGTATTGGCAAATTGGCTAAATGGTGTTCCCACAAATACGAACAATATTCACTCTTGGAACATCTCTCAATTATTGGACAAACAAGCATGTTTGACAAGGTGTTGTGCTTCTGGTTCTGGTGTGTAATATGCCATTGGGTTTCTGATTGCGTAAAGGCCGAAAAAACAAAAAGCATAGAGACAAAGGCAGGTTTGTTCTATTTCATACAGTGTGGAACGTGTTAAGAGGGAGGGGACCATCGTGGAAAATGCGAAGAAGTGGATGCTCATTTAGGTTTCTTCTCTTATTTTCATGGCTCTTTTTAATTTTTGTTTCGAAGGGTGCTGTATGATTGTCATAGCATGGCATGTGCATTCATTCATGCAACCCATGATATTACATAAGCTATCCCCAACGGATTCTGTATACAAGTGTCAAATCCAAATTACATCCCTTCAAATCATAGTATTACCATTTCCATTGGGACCACAGTTAAAAAAAAAACATTGAGATTGAAGAAAGTAATCACATGATATAGAATTGTGCAAAATGTGTGAAAATTATGCAAAATAGGGATGTGCTGTGCCGTGCCGGCAGTCTATATACATATATTTCTAGGACAAGTTATAATTTTCTATTTTTGAAAATATTTCACAAAAGAGGGTACCCCATGTTTGAACCACCATCACATCACCAATGACTCATCTCCCCACCTTTATTACGTGCAGAATTCCCGTTAATATTCTTTCTCACACTTAATGACGTTAACTTATTTGGTTTCTAACCTTACGTGGTATTAACAAATCAAATTGCATGAACGCAAACCAATAAATTATAACTATAATATTAGAAATGACCCTATGAATCAAATCATAACCGACAATTATGGAATGAATTTTAATTTATCTGTCAGTATGTTGAGAAATATTGTTTGCATTTATTACAAATTAATATTACATCCGATTTTGCATTTTATTTACCTAATCCCTATGATTCTCACACATTCCCATTGACGATTCTTTCCAAAAATTAATAAACCAATACGATTTATGGGATCAGAAACAGATTTGATATCAGCGTAAGTAATAACTTTTTTCTAATTGGTTGGATTTGCATCTATGGGACGAAATTTCAAATTTACAAGGCCTCTACGTTAGAAAGGAAATTTCCCTGTGGTGATGCGGAATAATAAAATAAAATAAAATAAAATAAAATGGCAGGATAGAAAAACAAAACAAAAGCTAATTAGTCCGTCTAAAATCAATCAACCAATAAAATCGTGCATTCCCATTTTAGATTTAGATTAACATCAAACCCAATTATATGCTTAAAGAAATTTCTAAATCGAATCCATAAGACTCGAGAATCAAACACGTATTACCCTTTGGAGCATAACGACGATCCATCCAAAGAGAACAAAAGGAAAGTCCCAAATAATCCCCACTGTATCTCACTCAAATCCAGCAACTCCATCGTTAATCTTCCTCTCCAATAGAAAACAAATCTCTCTCTCTCTCCCCTTCCTCTTTCTAACTCTTGTTTCTTCCCATTTTGTATTCTTTTGCTTTGTTCTGTGTTCTTAAATGTCCCTTCTTCTCCGTTACCATTCATGCCTTTTCAAAGCTTCCACCTTTTTTCTTTTTTCCCCTCTAAAATTTTTCCGGGAAAAGCAAGGAGAAAATGTGCAAGAAAATCTCGAAGTCTATAAATTGAGGCAGAACCTTTTCTCAACGTTCTCTCCCCTTTGATTTGTCAAGAAGCCTTTTCATATGTCCAACACCACCTTGTAACTTCTCAAAGCTTCTCCCTTTTCTTTTTCCCAAAATTTCCCGTGAAAACGCGAGAGAAAATTCTCTAGAAAATCTCGAATCCATAAATCGAGCGAGACCCATCTCTTCTCCGCCCTCGTTCCACAAAACCCATCTCCCTCTCAGTTCCCTTCCTTCGATTCAGCCGTAAAGTTCTCGCCTTTTTCCTCAGATTCGAGCTTCGCCCTTTTTTGGTATCTCACCTGCAAAATCTTCGAAAAGAGAAGCAAAAAAAAAAAATGAAAGAGTATTGGACAACTCTAGCTTCGCTTCTCGGCGTATTGGCCTTTTGCCAGAGTTTAATGCAGTCAATCTTCCCGCCGGAGCTCCGTCTCGCCGTCCTGAAATTCTTCAACCGAATCTTCCATCTCTGCTCCTCTTACTGTTATTTCGATATAACGGAAACAGACGGCGTTAGCACCAACGAGCTCTACAACGCCGTCCAGCTCTATCTCAGCTCCTCCGTCTCCATCGCCGGAAACCGTCTCAGCCTCACCCGTGCCCTCAACTCCTCCGCCATCACCTTCGGCCTCTCCAACAACGATTTCATCTCCGACAACTTTAACGGCGTCACCGTCCTGTGGGAACACATCGTCACTCAACGTCAGAACCAGACGTTTGCTTGGCGGCCAATGCCGGAGGAGAAGCGTGGCTTCACGCTCCGGATCAAGAAGAAGGACAAAAATCTGATCCTCAACTCCTACTTGGATTACATCATGGAGAAGGCGAACGAGATCCGCCGGAAAAACCAGGATCGGCTTCTGTACACGAATCCGAAAGGGGGAGCGGTCGATTCCAGGGGTCATCCATGGGAATCGGTTCCGTTCAAGCATCCGAGCACGTTCGATACGCTTGCGATGGATCCGATGAAGAAACAGCAGATCATGGAGGATCTGAGAGACTTCGCAGAAGGTCAATCGTTTTACCAGAAAACGGGTCGGGCGTGGAAAAGAGGGTATTTGCTTTACGGTCCTCCGGGAACTGGGAAATCGAGCATGATCGCCGCCATGGCAAACTACCTCGGTTACGACATCTACGATCTCGAACTCACGGAGGTTCACAGCAACTCCGAACTAAGGAAATTGCTGATGAAAACGAGCTCGAAATCGATTATCGTGATCGAAGACATCGATTGCTCAATCAATCTGACGAATCGGCAGAAGAGCAACACAAACCAGATCCCGAGGAGCGCATACGACCCGGTAACCAGAAGCGGTTTGGGTTCCGGCGAGGATTCCGGCAACAGCAACACGATTACGCTGTCGGGTCTGCTGAATTTCACGGACGGGCTTTGGTCGTGCTGCGGGAGCGAGAGGATATTCGTATTCACGACGAATCACATCGAGAAGCTCGACGCGGCATTGCTTCGAAGCGGACGAATGGACATGCATATACACATGAGCTACTGTACAATGCCGTCTCTGAAGATATTGCTGAAGAACTATTTGGGCTACGAGGAAGAAGATCTAGACGGCGACGTTTCGAAGGAAATGGAAGCGGCGGTGGAAAAGGCGAAGATGACGCCGGCCGACGTGAGCGAGTCTCTGATAAAGAACAGAAGGAGCGGGGACAGAGCGGTGAGGGAGTTGTTGGGCGAACTGAGAAGTAGGGCGGAGAGAAATGAAAGAATAGGGAAATTGAGGGGCGAAAATGGGAATTCAGCAGCGACTGAGGAAGATGAGGAGGAGGAGAAGAGGGCTTTGGATAGTCCAAAAGAGGATGGCGGCGATGAAGAGGAAGAGACTGCGTTTGAGAATGGCGTTTGCGAGAAAAGGGAAGAACTCAGAGGACACGACACATGAGATAGTGTCCGATAATATCACACACACACATATATATATATATATATATATGTTATTATGCTTTTGTTGGGTAATAAAAGTAAGAAGGTGTCATCATGTTCCAATTATTGTTATTTAAAGTGATGGATATTGGGTTTGTGGATTTGGTAGGCCACTTCACTCTGTTATTGTCTTCCCTAATAAGAGGCCATGCCTTGAAACTGTTGTCTATAAAAGAAATTGGTGGATAAAAGGATGAAGGAATGATAAGAATCCATTATTATTATTAAGGGTAATCACATAAAATATCCGAACTTTTACAAAAATCTCAAATAAATATCCGAACTATAAAATTATCATATAAATATCTGAACTTTTCAAAACTCCCACATAAATACCCAAATATTTAAATTTTTTTCAAATCAAACAAACGCAACTGCTGACTCGACAAAAAACTGCTGACTCAACAAAAAACTGCTGACTCATCATTTAAAAATATTATTAAATGTTCAAATATTCATCTACATATATTTAAATTAATATATACATATAAATTCACATATATGTACAAATATATATATATATATATATATATATATATTAAAAATAAAATTATTTATAATTAATAAAACACATATACACATAACTACA